CTCCTCCTCCTCCTCCTCATGGTTCTCTTCCTCCTCCTCTTCCTCCTCCTCCTCCTCCTCTTCCTCCTCCTCCTCCTCCTCTGCCTCTTCCTCCTCCTCCTCATCCTCCTCCTCATCCTCATCCTCCTCATCCTCCTTCTGCTCATCCTCCTGGCCCAGCCCCCTCGAGATCTGGTCGTTGCAGTCGTCCGACGCCGGGCGTCTTTCCGCTGGGGCTCGGCCCCAGGGCCCGCACAGGTCGATCGGGGCCAGCAGATGCGTCAGAAAGGTGGGGTCTAGTGCTCCAGTCATTTTTTGTCCGCGATGCTGCAACTTTTCCGCGCAACGTTGGATCGCATGGCCCCTATGCTCCCCTCCCGTCTCCTCGAGGATGGGGCGGCTTGTTGGGGCGGCAGCCGAGACAGGGAAAGCTGCCAGAGCTCGCCCAGCCAGGCAGGGGGGGGGAGGAGGAGCAGGAGGAGCGGGGAGGGAGGCGGTGCCCCTCCCCACCTCCCTCGCCATCCGTCCCCCCCCCCCCGCATGCCCGCCCCTGCTCCTGGATTCGTGAGGGCCACCAGCGGGCATAGGGGTGAGGAGGGGGCGGTGGCCAGCGAAGGAGATGGTGAGGTGGAGCATCGCCAGGTGCTCCGCACCGAGCACCTCCTCATCGCAGTTATCTGCCATCCCCCTGTTCCAGGCCACGAGATTGGTATCCCCTTTCGTCGAACAGCATCACAAGTTGGCTGGTGAAGGGAACAACCACCTGTGTCCTAACTGACAGCCATGACTATTCCTCTCCTCCTCCTCCTCCTCCTCCTCCTCCTCCTCCTGCTCCTCCTCCTCCTCCTCCTGCTCCTCCCCTCGCTTCCTCCTCCTTCCCGCGCGCAGGCGGGGCGCACCCTTACCACATGGGGGGCGGTAACCCCCTCGTCGGCGGGGGCGGCCTCGCGGGGGCTGGCGGGGACGGCAGCATGTACATGGCGGGCTACCCCATGAACGGCGCGCAGTTCCTCTAGCCGCGGCCCCTCCTCGTCGGAGGAGAAAAATCGGCATGAGCATAGACTTTTGGCGGTGCGCGCGGAGTTCTTGGATCGGCGCTGGGGCCCCCTGGCGGCGCTCCCGGCGCCGCCCCTGGCGCGCTCCGCGCGCTGGGGAGGGGGGCCCAGCTCAGACCCAAGAAGTCCGCGCGGGCCGGCAGCAGTGTATGCTTGTGCCGCTGTTTGTTCCTCCACCCACTGCGGCGGCCTCCCCTCGGGGACCCCCGGCCCGCCCACCGCTCCGATCCTGCACCGGCTCGCCCCCCCCCCCATGGGGCAGAGCGGGGGGGATGGGCTCATCGCCCATCCAGTCGGCTCATCCATCGCCCGTCCATCGCCGACGGGGCCCGATGGCCCACCCCGCCCAGCAGCGCGCGGATTCGCCATCGGGGGCCCATCATCGCTGATCTCCATCGGCGACGGTTCGCCGATTCCTGGTCTGAGGTCTCCTCCCCTGATCAGGAGGGAAAAAACACACAGACACAATTCATCGCCGATTCCCCAGAAAATATGGGAAGATATGGGTTGTGGGGGGGAATACAAAAAAACAACCCAAAATAGTGGAAAATATGGGGAATGTTTCTATTTGTGTGTATTTCTTTGTGTGTGTCCAGGGGCCCCTTCCCCTGAGCCGCTCCCCCCTGTCATTCCTCCTGCAGGCTCCCAAGAGACGCGGCAGGCGCGGCATTTCCTCGACGCCACTGGGGGTTCGCAAAGGGGGTACGATCTCTATGTGCGCTGCAGGCTCGCAGGGCGCCGCAGTCGCGGCATTTCCGTGGCGCTCACCCTCTCACGATGAGTTGGTGCCTGCGCTGACCGAACCCCCCCCCGAAGGAGGGGGACGGCAGGCGGAAGGCAGGTCGCCGAGGGTTGCACTGCTGCTGTGCGCAGCTGGGCCGCGGCCGTAAGACGAAAAGGTGGTACAAGTCCCAGAAGTATAGAGGAACCGTTGGGGCTGTATTTAAGTCGGGCCTGTTCCCCTACAGGGGGATTTTCGACGAAAAATACAGAATACCCCAAACATAATCAAAAGATAGTCCAAAGATAGTCTGGGGACCATTTTTTCAGGTTTGTTTGACCTTTTGGGGGTATTTTTTATTTTTCGTCGGCAATCCCCATATAGGGGGACACGCCCGACATAAGGCTATATGTTCGAGCGGCCCAAAAACGCCAGAGCCACATCTCTCTCTCTCTCTCTCTCTCTCTCGACACACACACACACGGAGCATCTCTCTCTCCCCCAGACGAGCGGTGGCCACACCGCGTGGTGACTCAGGAGGGATCCGGGGTGACCGCACGGTTCTGGGACTCGGGTCGTTATCCGAGGACTTTTCGAGCGACTGGGCCTCAAGGGTCCGAGGACCGTGCAGTGGCGGAGGGGTCGCGTCCCAGGCATCCGATGTTCAGACTTTTTCCAACACGGGGCCCCAGGAAGTCCCAAAAGGCTTTCCTCCGGGAAGTTCTTGGGGCCCGTTGAGGGCCCCGGTAGGCCGAAGATAGCAGCCACTGCCTGGCCGCCCAAGTTCTGCGTCGGAGCATCGGATCGTTGGGTTGGGATTCCGAGATATCCTGGCACGGTCTGTCGCCGCACCCTCCCCAGGGGCCCCCAAGGGATCTTGCCACTCTTTGCTCGGGGATCGGAGCGGAGCGGTCGGAGCGGGAGTCTCTCGCTTGATGGGCCTGTTTTCCGCCGCCACCACCCTGAGTTGGAGAGGGGAAGGAGGTGGAGGGAGAAGAGGAGGAGGAGGAGGAGGAGGAGGAGGAGGAGGAGGTGGATGAGGAGAAGGAGGAGGAGGAGGAGGAGGAGGAGGAGGAGGAGGAGGAGGAGAATGAGGAGGAGGAGGAGGAGGAGGACCCCCTCCCCCTCCCACTTCCGGTGGTGGCGTTGGACAGCAAGCCCACCATCGCTCCCGGCCGCGCGCGCGCGCGCCAGGGCTCCGCCCGAGCGCGCCTGCAAGCAAAAAGGCGCGCCTCCGTGAGGCGCGCGCGCGCGCGCCCTTTCCCAGGGCGCCCCCCGGCCCCTCTCCCCGCCCTCCGGGGAGCAACGGGTACGGGCACCGCCGCTCGTGCTGGAGAGCTCCCGCCGCCACGGCAGGCTCTCTCCGAGAGAGGTCCCCGGGGAGTGGAGGCCCTCACCGTGCGCGCGTGCCCCCCCCCCCCAGCCCCGACCCCCGCTCCCGCCCCTTCCAGGGCCAGGAACACCATCGCCCCCTCCCTCCACCCCGCCCCCTCCACCCTCGCGCCCCCCCCCCTTGCCAGACCCAGGGGTGCCACCTATATACGACCGCCTCCGCGCTCTCTCCTCCGCGCTGCTCCTCCCCGCCGTCCTCCCTGCCGCCCTCCCCTCCTCGCTCCCGCCGCCCTCCGCCCGCTGTCCCCCCCCCCTTCGCTCTGCCCTCCCCGCCGCTCTCCCTGACCCCGCGGGCGTGTGCCCCTGCGTCCTGCTCCGCCCCCGACGTCCGCTGCCGCCAGTCGGGCACCGCGGCCTCTCGGGAGGCCGTCCTGGCCCCCCCCCCTTGCCCCGGAGGCTCTCGGCTCGCAGGCCTAGGGGGGGGGGCACGGCAGTGCACGCGACGCGCGCGTGCTGGCTCGGCGCGGTGCGCCCCTACGTCGCCCCTTGCCCTGCACTCCCGCTGATGCTTGCCCATCTGGCGTTATCCGGCATGCGATGGCGCCGCTGGGGTCTCCATCCTGACATGCCCACGTCCAGCCTCCTCCCTCAGTCTTACGGAGTCGTTTGCGTAGCCTCCGCAGTCGGCGGTAGCACAGTGATGCGATCGAGATTCGGCTGCCCCGTTGGGAGGAGTGTGACTATCTGGCTCCGCGAGCGGTACGGCAAGAAGTATGACTTCATGATGAGGCACGCTTTTTCGAGCCAGCCTGCATTCGTGTTCTCGATTTGTCTATCGTTCTTTGGCTGCTCCTACACCTTACACGGCGGAAGAACGCCCCGCGGCGCCAACCCCAGGGCGACATCTCAACACAGAGAGTTTGCTTAATTACATGTGTGTGGTGTTTCACAGGAGGAAGAAACCAAACTCATCGCGCAAAACCTTGCGGATCCAAAGGGATGCTTTGGCCGATGGGAACGCAAGGGATTCCCATTGGTTTTGCGAGGATGTCGGGATATGTTTGTCATGGTTGTCTGTGGAATTCCCCTGGGCTCCTCAAGAAACCCTTCGTACATCCTTGAGGAACCTTTCGGAATCCTCAGGAAATCCGTCGGAACCTTTTTGACATCTTCAGGGCTGCTTTAGGCATCCAAAGGGTTTTGCAAGACTTTCTTCCGATTGCTTTCCACATCCCAGCGCTTCCAAAAGGAATCCTGAGGAGACCCTGGGGATTCCTTGAGAAAGTTGTTGGGTGTCTCGAGGAGAAATGCTTAGGATGTTTTGGGGTGGCGTGAGTATCACAACGCGCTGCAGGATCCGTAATAATTTCTGTGGATGGCGGCGTGGTCCTTACTTTCAGTCCACCGTCATTGTCCGCGTTCTTGTTTCTGACGCATGTTGTCAACCATCGACGCCGTCCGCCAAAGACCCGCATGCCTCCTTCCCCTGCGTGACACGTGACACTGCGGAGCCTACCCGACCATGCCCCGCGGGCGACCCATCCGCAACCCACGACCGACGACCGCGACCCTCGTCTGTCTGAATCGGCGGCGAACGAGGGGGGGTCAGCGAGAAGGGGCTGGCCTGTTCAGGAGGCTCGGAAGCCCCCCGGGCCGTCTGAGAAGTGTTCGAAGAGCCTTCCCCGAAGACGCAACAGCTTCTCAGAAGGCGCGCTGAGAAGTTCCGCCGCCTTCTGAAAACGCGGTCTCCTTCTCATTTCCCCCCCCTCGCTCGCCGCCAAGCTTGACCCTGAGAAGCGAGGGGGGGAAACTGAGAAGGAGAAGGCCTTGTCAGAAGGCGGCGGGACTTCTCAGAAGCCCTCGGGCCTTCTGAGAAGTTTTCGTGCCTTCGGGGAAGGCTCAGAAAGCTTCTCAGAAGGTCGTGGAACTTCCGAGCCTTCTGACACGGCCCGCCCCTTCTCATTTCTGGAGGTCGGAAAGGGGTGTGGCACAATGGGGTGTGGTGCCAATCGCGGACATGGCGATGTTTTATCTACGATGGATAACCTCGCCAGATCCAGCATTGGCACCCCTTCCCCTCCCCCAGATCATGATGATGTGATGATGATGTTGCTGTTGATGATGCTGCTGCTGCTGATGATGATGATGATGATGATGATGATGATGATGATGATGTGATGATGTTGCGTATGATGAGGATGATGACAGTGATGATGCTGATGATGTGATGGTGTTGATGGTGATGGTGATGGTGACGGTGATGATGATGATGATGATGATGATGATGATGATGATGATGATGATGATGATGATGATGATGATGATGATGATGATGATGATGAAGATGATGATGATGATGATGATGATGATGATGATGCTGATGCTGCTGATGATGATGATGATGATGATGATGATGATGATGATGATGATGATGATGATGGTGATGATGGTGATGATGGTGACGCTGATGAGGTGGATGATGATGTCCCCCCTCGCTGCGCCTAGACTTCTGCGCTCCGCCCGCGCCCGCGGTCGGCGCCCGAGACCGCGCCTCCCTGCGCCTCGCCCTTCGCCCGGGGAGCCCCGCGGCCCCGCGCCGCGTCGGCCCGCACTCCGTGCCCGCGCCATCCGCGTGCGAGCTGTCCGCAGTCCGCCTGCACCGAGCGGTGCCAACGGCCCTTTGGGCGGCGCCGAGGGCCCGCGACGACGGCGACGACGACGACGACGACGGCGACGGCGACGACGACGACGACCGACGACCTTCGACGACGACGACGACGACGACGACGACGACGACGACGACGACGACGACGACGGCGACGGCGACGACCGATGACCGACGACCGACGACCGACGACCGACGACGGATGACGACGACGGCGACGACGACGACGACGGCGACGACGACCACGACCACGACCACGTCCACGACCACGACGACCGACGACGACCGACGACCGACCACCCATGAGCGCGTCAGCATCTCCAAAGCATACCCTCTGCTCTATTTCGGAGCAGTGCATTTCCCTGGCATGGAGAATGGGTCGCGATCAGGTGGAAAGCCCAGCATGGCGCAGTATGGCCCAAATGGCCCCAAACTTGGCTTAGAGAGCAAACACTAGGCAGCTGCGAGTGATGCAAAGCGCGGTGCTCTCATTCTGCACCGCGCAGTGCCAGCGTGGAGTCCGGTGCAGTGTGGACTGGGGCGCTGCGGAGTGCGCGAAGGCGCGCGGAGCTGCTCGCGTGGGGCACGACATGCCTGCCGACACGGGCGGGACGTCGCCGTGCGAGTTCCTCCGCTGGGGCCACGGGCGAGGCTCCCCGTGGGCCACGAGCAGCGTGAGGGGTGCGTCGAGACGACATGCCTGCCGACACCGGCGGGACGTCGCCGTGCGAGTGCCTCCGCTGGGGCCACGGGCGAGGCTCCCCGTGGGCCACGAGCAGCGTGAGGGGTGCGTCGAGACGACATGCCTGCCGACACGGGCGGGACGTCGCCGTGCGAGTGCCTCCGCGGGGGCCACGGGCGAGGCGCCCCGTGGGCCACGAGCAGCGTGAGGGGCGCGTCGAGGGCAGCGGGGCGCAGCGATGCGAGCTCCTCCGCGGGGGCCACGTGTGGAGCTCCCAAAAGAGGCAGGAATCGGCAGGAGGAGGAGGAGGAGGAGGAAAGAGAAGAGGAGGAGGAGGAGGAGGAGGAGGAGGAGGAAAGAGAAGAGGAGGAGGAGGAGGAGGAGGAGGGAGAGGAGGAGGAGGAGGAGGAGGAGGAGGAGGAGGAGGAGGAGGAGGAGGAGGAGGAGCAGGAGCAGGAGGAGGAGGAGGAGGAGGAGGAGGAGGAGGAGGAGCGGTGTGCTGACATGGGCCAGGTGGCGCCGCTCGTGTTCCCCCGCTGGGGCCACGGCTGCAGCCCCGTGTAGGGCACGATCCGCGTGAGGGGTGCGCCGGAAGGGGCGCAGCGATTTCATGCGAAGCCCATCACACAGGCCATGGATGGAGCTCCAGTAGGTGTACAATCGATTCGAACCCTTACACATTCGAGGGGAATTCTGAGTCCCCCCCCCGCCCCCGATATCAATGTTGAACTCAGTACAGGCGGTGCTCTGGGGGTTCGAGTATTTTTCTGCCCACTCACGCCACCATTTTCGTCACGCCATCAAAAGTCACTTGAGGGGATGCGGGGGGCATCTTGGGCTATAGTGTTCGAATAGGATGTCCATGTACGATCCCCATGGGCCGCGATCAGCCTGAGGGGTGTGCCAGCATGGGCGCGTGGCTCCTTGCGAGCTCCTCCGCTGGGGCCACTTGTGTAGCTCTGTGCGGGGTACGATCTGTGCTAAGTGTGTGCCGAAATTGGCGCGGTGGTGCCATGCGGGCTCCTCCGCGAGAGCCCTGGGTGGAATTTTCCATGGCGCACGATCTGCGGAAGTGGTGCGCCCAAATGGGCGCGGTGGCGCCATGCACGTTCCCCCATTTGGGGCCATTGGTGAAGCTCCCACGGGCCACGATCAGCCTGAGGGGTGTTCCTAAACGAGGGTGCGATGGCGCCATGCAAGTGTCTCCACCAGGGCCATGGGTGGAGCTCCTTGTGCGGCACAATCCGCGTGAGGGGTATGTCACAATGGTCGCGGTTGCGACATGCGAGTTCCTCCGCTGGGGCCATGTGAGGATCCCACACGATCCGCGTAAGGGGTGTTCCGAAACGTGGGGCGTGGTGGCGAGCTGCTCTACTGGGGTCATTCGTGGAGCTCCCTGAGGGGGACCATCCGCGTGAAGGGTGTGCCGAAGTGTGCGCGGCAGCTCCCTGCGAGTTCCTCCGCCGGGGCCATCGGTGGAGCTCCTATGGGGCCACGATCCGACTGCAGAATGTGCCAAAAGTTTTCGCGGTGGAGGAGGAGGAGGAAGAAGCGGAGGAGGAGGAGGAAGAGGAGGAGGAGGGGGAGGAGGAGGAGGAGGAGGGGAGGAGGAGGAGGGGGAGGAGGAGGAGCCATTCACGTTCATTCACTGGGGCCACGGCGTGCAGCCGCCTATGGGGCAAGACGCGCGTGTGTGGGGTGTGCTGGCCTGGGCATGCGGACGGAGAGCAGAGGCAGATAGAAGAGCAGGAACATCACGGGGAGGGCGAGGAGGAGAAGGAGTCGGAGGCCTGGAAATTGGCGCCAACACCAAGACAGGGGGTTGCCTCCACATGGGGGAAGGTGATCCTAGATTTTCGGTGTTGGTGGTAATAGCTCGGCCACCTAGGAAGCCAGAATATTACCACCATCGCCGAGATCGGGATCTTCTTCCCTCGGTGGAGGCAAACCACCGAAATTGGTGTTGGTGTCCATCTCTAGGCCTGCGAGGGAGGCCCAGATCAAACATCGGATCCAGCACACGGGCCCGACCAGCGCGGACACACAATCGCACAGGAGCATGGAGAAAGCACACTGTGAGCAAGTCGTCGCTCTCCGATGGGTTTCCCAACGTTGCCCCAATATCGCGCAACACGACCCTGATGCAGGCCCGGACGAGCCCGAATAGGCAGGCTTTTGTTTACGATTTCCACAAGTATGGACAGGGTTTTGTGAACAATCTTCACAAGTCACTCGTCGTGTGAAGTTGGTTAAGTTAACCGTATAGTACGTCCTGGAGGCAGCCGGCAACCGCTCCCTCGTCCTTCTCGTCGTCGTTCTCTTTCTCTCATGGCATCCTGCCGTCATCATTCTCGTGCTCTGCCCTCTCCCTATCGACTGCCATTCCCATCTTTGTCCTCCTGCACATCCGCTTCTGTCCTCCTCGCTGACATTAGCTACTGGTGGTGTTCTGTCGGATACGACGTGGGCGCGTCACTCTGCACTGCGCCGTAGCGCGGTGCAGGGCAGAATAATGCAATGAAGTGAACAGCAATGTGTTGCAGTGCCCTCTGTGGCAAACGGGTGAAGGTGGGCAGTTGTGATATGCATTGCATGCTGTGGGTTTGCGGTGTACTGCCTCGGCACAATCATGTCTTCTGTCCTCCGGTACTACCATAGACAGGGCTTGCAGTTTGAGGCTCACTTTGTGGATCTTGAGGAACTGGGCATGGTAGGGTCTGCCATGGGTTGCGCAATAGGTTGCGGTGTCCCGGGTGGCGCCAGCAAGGCCCCATTGGTTTCGCCATAGGTTGCGCCATGGATGCTTTGAATTGCAATGCATCGATTTGCGTTGGACTGAACTGCGCTGCGTTGCAGAGCATTGCACCGCGTTCATTGGTCTGCGTTGCTTTTGCTTTATTGCAGTGCGTTGTTTTGCTTGTCGTCGCGTTGCGTTGCATCGCCGTGTAGCGCGTTGCGCTGATTTGCAGTGTTGCCCATGTCTTTGCATTACGTGCTGTTTTGTTTTGTGTTGTAACACATTGCTTTGCATCGCTGACCTGGGATTGTACTAGCAAGTCATGGCTTGGTGTTCACGCTGGGACCCGCATGTTCTTGCATGCGTGTTGGTGCAGGTACTCGGAGAAGGGAGAAGTATTCCAGTATGGCTTGCTGAACCGCTTGGACAGGGAGACGTCTGGGCCTGTCGTGGTCGGTGTGCTAATTTCTGCGCCCGCTCGTCTTCATTTGTATCTTAAGCGGGCTGCTTACTAGATGGCCGTGTGAATTGGAACACGCATTGTCTACACATTTGCCTCGGCGTGGCTCCAGGTGGAGAAATCACTCGTTTGGCTTCGCCAGCGTTTCTTCGAGTTGTGGTTTTCAGGCTTGAGCAACTCTTCGCCATGGGGCCGCTGCAGTGTCGTGCCTGATGCATACCTCGTGCGTTTGGCGTGCGGTTAGGGTCTGCCTGCGAAGGGTACGTCGGATGATGTGCAGCCAGCCTTCATTTTGTCACTCGTGTTAGAACACGAGCATCGCCTGGACCATTGGTATCCAAATGTGTTGGGATGTGGTGACTGCGCTTGCACATTGGTCGGCACGGTATCCGCCGGGGGGCGGTCCAGGCCGCTGGTTCTCCAACTGCCCCGCACGAGAGCCGACAGCAACAGCACACACAGTGCATTAAGTCGGGCACATCCCTCTACATGAGGAATGTATATATGTATGTCTGTCTGTCTGTCTGTCTGTCTGTCTGTCTGTCTGTCTGTATGTATGTATGTATGTATGTATGTATGTATGTATGTATGTATGTATGTACTTTTATACATATACATATATACATATATATATACATATATATAAGATAAGAGTCAAACATAGGCTGGGAAGGTTTTGTTTGATTTGGCTATCTCTTATTTGTCCTAGAAGCTCCGCCTGCAGGAGGACACGCCCGACCTAAACATTGCGTCTCAGACGTTGCTGTCGCGCCAGGTGATTTTGTAGAGGGGGCGCTCCAAACTGAGCCTCGCCGTCGAGGATCGAAGGATTTGTCAGCTCTCTCTCGACGGTAAGGCCGCGGAAGGGCGGCGGAAGTGAGAGCGAGGCCGCCTCCGTCGGCGGAAGCCGGCGGATTTGCGGCCGACGTCAAAGGAGGAAAAGGCATTTATACCCCTACCCTCCCCTCGTTTTTCCCTTTTGGGGCCTCCTGGGCCTCCCTCGTCGCCACCGCTGGATTCGCCTCGAAATCCTGGTCGGAAGGCCCCCGGGAGAGGTCCGGGGAGTAGCGGCATCGGTACCTCTTGATCTTCCCACGAAGGCAGCGGAAGTGCATGATGCGCCCGCAAGAGATGACCATGTTTTTGGATTCAGGGTTTCCGGAATCGGCCATATGTGTGATCCTTTTGCTCCCGCCCTGCCCATGTTTTGGGCGAAGTTGGTGTCGTTACATGCATTTGCGCAGGTCGCCAAGAACGAGGAGTGCGGCTCTTCGCTACAATCAGTTGTCTGCATGATATTATGGCTTGTCGCAGGCTTCCGTACCTCGCAGAGTTAGGGATGATGATTGTTGGGACGACGGAGGGTGTTGCCGCAGGAAGGTACATGTTCTTGCCTGATGTCGTGTGAAGTCTGCTCATGTGTGCCCTGTTATGGGCCCGCTGCAGTGACTGAGCGGGACAGGAGAGTCAGGCCAGAGTGGCAGAAGTAGCAGCAGATGGGTGATCTCAAAGTCGGAGCTGGAGACGAGAAGGACAAGTCGGAGCTGAAACACCCGCCCCTGCCGATGTTTGCAGCGGGGGCATCGCAGGGTCTGCCCAAGGAGTGGTTTCAGCCAGCCATAGCAAGGATTGATATGCCCCCGCTGGAGCCATTGATGAACCAAAATTATGATAGGAGCATGAGGAGTTCGATTACGGACCCCCTGTTGAACGCAACCGTCCAGCTTTCGCGCCGGAGACCGCTGGAAACCGCCAGAGACACCGCCGGAAGCAGCCAGAGACCGTCGGAGGACCTCCTTGGAAGACCGCCGAGAGACCGCTGAAAAGGCTGCGCGAAGACCGCCCGAGGACCGCCGGAGACGGCCCACGGAGCAATGGGTAACGAAAGGGTTCCATGGTGGAACACATAGGGGGCACTGACGGGTACCCATGCACTTGGCATCGCTCGGACGTGTGCATTTTTCCTTCGGCGAGGACCATCGAGGAGCATCCTTGATCATTTTGCGAGAAAGCCACGCACGAAACGTAAAAAAACACAGAAAATGGACGTCCGAGCGATGGCCAGATGCAGCCATGCAGTGGGCGTAGGACCACCATGATGTCGGGGCGTCCCCGCAGAGGGCCCCGCCGTCGGCGGGGAGTTCTTGGTGGAAGCAGGTCTCGACCGCGGCTTTCCGCCGGCGGAAGCCTAGCAACAAAAAGCCAGCGGAACTTTTTTTAATGTATAATAAACCAAACAAATAGAGAGAAACACATTTAAACAAAACAAGCACACAAACAAAGGAACTGTTTTTGTATCAAGGTAAGGCAAGACAGAGATGCACCGATCAAAGAAAGGAAACAAAGAAGTCACCCCAACGTGAGTCAACAACAAACAGTTTTATACAGGTAAGCCAAGTAGTATTTCTGGAAGGAGCGCATGGCCATGGGAAGATCGTAGCGACCAGCTCCGCAGGGGGGCCCAGGTGGGAAGGTAGTGAAAGTCACCGCCATCACGTCCCCCTGCCAGTGCAGTCAAGACAGGGAGGCCAGTAAACATGTCATCGAGAGCCACAGTTGCGATATTATCGTGTCTTCCTTGTTGTTCGGGAAGCATGGGGGCAACGATCAAACAGGAAGCGCAACGCTTCAGACATCACACGGCGGGACATCGCAAGTCCTTGTGGGTTGCAGCCAAACGGTCTTCATAAGAAGGATACCTTATTGAACATGTCAGACTCGCATAATGTAGTCGTCCCCACAGCCGGCCCACGTGGTGTTATTTTTTTGCATTTAGTGCCATAACCGCCAAACCATAGCGGTCGCCTCCGTCTACAAGGGCAAAGGTCAAGCAAGTAACCATGCTTGAGTCTAAAGTCGAGCGCCTTCTTCTCTTTCCCACTCCCGCCGGGGAGGAGCTCTACAGGACGATGAAGAAACTGAGGAACCAGCACGGGTGGTTCAAGGAGTACGTTTGCCTCGTGCACGGCAAGATCCCGGTCGATCAGTGGCAGGCTCTGGGGAGGGAGGTTGGCGCGTGCATGCTGCGGAGAACGTGCTCCGTTTGCCCAGGTCGAGATTGAAACGGCGGGTTGGCGAGGCCCCCAACGGCTCAGTTCCCTAGCTGCTCGGAAAAATTGCCCAGGAGGCGTTCTGCACATGTCTCAGCGTCTGGAGATGGTTTCCGGGCCCAGGGAGAGAACCGACTCATCACGAACAAACAGGTCACTCAAACGTAGAGTCGTCGGAGGTTTGAGGCCCCTGGGAGGAGGGCCCGACACTGTCGTTCTGCCGCCCCCCTCGTCACACATCCTGGCTATGGCGGGGGAGGGGGTGAGATAACCATGAGCGAAGCCAAGACGTACGCGTGCATGAGTGCTCATGTGTTCCGACAGAGCGCGCTTGCCACAGAAGATAGGCGGGCATGCCTGGCGGTTGCGGGTGGAGTGGATGAGGTGTTGCCACATTGGTTTCTGATTGTGAAGAACTATTGGTCTCCCATGCGTCTCTGCATATACTCACCTGCTCGGGGCAACGCTAAGGGCGTGATCGAGACGGGCATCATGGGGGGGACCGACAACGGCCTAAAGAAGTCTCAGGCACCAAATTCTTGTTTGTCTCCGGTGGCCGATTGTTCACGTCCTTCGTTTCGTCTCGGAGGCGGAGGGATGGCGGGGGAGCTGGTGGATGAGGACGGGGAAGCAGCTTGGAATGGGGTGGAAGTTGACGGCAGGTGGAAATCATAGTAACACTAAACAGTCATAATAAGGAAGAGTTGGGGTAAGAGCTTGCAGTTGAATTCCCCTGTTGCTGCATCTTCCGTTCCGCATTGTTTGGCGTGACCGCCTGCCTTGCAGACAGTTCCGATTGATGGGCCTGTTTTCCACCACCACCATAAGTTGGAGGGGGAGGGGGTCCTCCTCCTCCTCCTCCTCCTCCTCCTCATCCTCCTCCACCTCCTCCTCCTCCTCCTCCTCCTCTTCCTCCTCCTCCTCGTCCTCCTCGCGAAGTGGTGGTCTCGGGCTGCGGAGCTGAGCCGCACGGGCATGGCGACCAGCCTTGCCGCCCGCTCTTACAGAGTGAACGTGCTCCCGTGCCTCTCCTACCTGGCCCAGCTCTTCCTCCTCATCCCCGAGGTCTGGCGGGTCGAGTTCACGATGCTCCACCGCCTCTTGCCTTTCCCGCCCTCGTCCATGCGCAAGGCGGACATCCTCGCCATGGGCGCGTGGTGCGGCTCTCCCGCGCCTGTGGGCGTGCTCCCGTACTCTGTCGCCACCATCCTCCGTGCGGCGGCCCACGCAGTGCGCGGCTGGGCCCCTGTGCTGCGCTGAGTGCACGAGACGGCGGTCGAGCACCTCCCGCTGGTTCGTGTGCTACGGGGCGCGTGGTCACCACCGTGGTGGGCCTCCAAGCGCGCCATCGTCCAGAACTGCGGCCTCGTGATGGATATGTTCCGCACCCTCCCGCACCCGCGCCCCGAGCTTGACGAGCTGCCTGTCCCTGTCCCGCCTGCCCTCGTCGAGGCGGCCCGCCGAGCGATGGCCGACGAGGAGCTGGCCGCCGCCGCTGCCGTCCCGCCCAGGAAGGTCAAGCGCCAGGCCGCGGCCATGAGCGCCCTGTGGGACGGCCTCTACGACGACCGCCTCGACCTCCTCATCGGCCGACGCTTGCGGCGCTGGGGCATCGAGATCTCTCCCGAGGAGCTGCACGGCCGATGGCTGGAGCTCCGAGCTGTTCTGCGTGGTGCGCGCCCTTCATGGCTGTGGTCGTGGCTCCGCACGGCGGTCAGCGGTTGGATCACCTCAGGCAGGATGCACGTCATCGCCCCGCGGCCTTGCACCTTCGGTTGCGACGCCAAGGACGACCTGGCGCACTACCTTATATGTGAGAAGCTCCGCAGCGCGGTCGCAGCCCCTGCGGAGCCGAGTGAGTTGAAGGATGGAATTGTCTTCCTAGGGCTTGGCCACCCCCACGAGCATCGCGCGCGCGCCCGCAAGACATGTGTGCATGCGGTGGCGTTGGCCACGCAACTATTTCATATCGTAAAGTGGCGGATCGACAGCGGTCTGCCTGTCCATGACGCTGCAATCGCGGCCGCACGCATCGCAGCACTGCATCGTTTACAGGTCTGCACGCACCTGCTCGCCGAGCTTCGTGCGCTCCTCCTTGTCCTCCTCCTCCTTCTCCCCTTCAACTTATGGTGGTGGTGGTGGAAAACAGGCCCATCACCGACGACGAGAGTCCCAAATGGTAGCCCATCAGGCTCCTCTTTGGGGGGGTTGCTGGCCGTCTCGGGGGCCATCTAGGGCTGCAGAGCTCCACGCTGCGATTCCAAGGCCCCCGTCTTGGGTTGAGTCGGGCGTGTCCCTCTACGGGAGGAATCTACAAAAACAGTAAACCATTACTCCGAGGACAATTTGTTGATTCCGTTTGTTCTATGTTTATGTTTCGACATGTTTTGACTGATTGCGATTCTTTTCCCAGAATCCGCTGGTAGGGGGACACGCCCGACCTATACGGCTTGGGCCCCCCTCGGGGGGGCCTCTCCAGGGCCTCCCGGCTCCCCCGACGCCTTACCTGACGATCGCCGTGCTGCCACCTCTCCTGACGACCCCCGGTCGCTGTGCGCGTGGCTGTGCAGCCCTTCGGCGCCTCTCGGGCGCGCACTCCCCCGGGCCTCCTGGCCGCTCGAGAGAGGGGTCCCCAGAAGAGCCTCGGGACGGCCTCTGGGGACCGGCCGCATGTGGTCAGGACTGCAAGGTGACCTTCTAGACCCACGCGGCTTCGGATGCAACTCCTGGAAGGTCGAATTCTGATTTTGCCCTGGTCCGAAGTCCGGCTAAATCCGGCTTGATCCGGCTTGATCCCGCTCGATCCAGCTTAATCCCGTTCAATCCCGTTGAATCAAGGTTAATCCTGCTTAGTCCGAGGCCCACTCCGGCGTGACAGCTCATTAATGGGGCTGAATATTCCTTAATCTTTCCGACGAAAGCCTCCCAGTAGTTGCCTCCTAACGTGACACACAATCTTACGTGCACGCTAGCTGCGAGCTACGAGGAAGGAGGTTGCACGTCACAACGACGAAAACGATGCGCGCATCCTGCCCCCACAATGTCGCAGGTGTTGCGAGACCCGGTTGGTCGTTCCGGCAGCGATTGACGTGCGCGCACGTCGGCCGAGCTGGTGGCAAAGTATAGTTGCTGATCGCGGGCATCATGGCCACTCTTTCGGGATTTTCTTCGGACGATATTGCTACGAGCGGCAGGAGGCGGCGCATCGCCGCGTGGCAGGACTTGCCCTCACAGCTCTGGGAGAGATTGCACGGGCCGTCTCGACGCATCCTTGGTCACTGCAGTTTTGCCCTGGACTTTCAGTTTTGCATCCTTGGGCACTGCAGTGCCTGGCCTTTCCGTGGACCTTACTGAGGTTCCCTCTTCTGGAAGGAAAAATTATGAAGGAACGCTTCCTGAAGGAACCCTTCTTAACAATCCCTCCGTACGAATCCAAACCTTAGGAATCTTCCGTAAGGTAGCATCACTAAAGATCATTCACACAAAGGCATCCTCATTCTGGAGATTGTAGCAGATAAAACATTATTAGAGCATCTTCACAAAATGAGCATTTACTCAAGGCATCCTTACTTGTGGAACGCTTCCTAAAGGCATCCTTACTCAGGAACCCTTGCCATCGGCGCCCTTACTACGGAATCCTTTTATACAGGGCACCTTTGATAAGAATCCTTACGAAGGGCATTTTTATTAAGGAACTCTTACTAGAACGATCTTTACTGAGGACCCCTTGCTAAAGCGACACGTACTGGGCATTCTTTATAACATGGGTCTTTGCATAGGATTCCTCCATGGGGGGGTCCTTACTGAGGACCCCTCTCTAATGGCATCCTTACGCATCCCCCTTAACGTGGACAACCCCCCTAACGTGACCCAAACCTCGGTGACACCGAGCCTGGCCCACGTGAAGTGGGCGTGACATCTGCATTCTGGCGACGCGCTTATCTCGGACTGGTGCTCTGGCCTGTGCGTGGGCCACATCTCTGATTGAAAATGTCGTTCCCGCCTTGGCGCCGACGACATCCTTCATTGAGCGTGTCGTTCTTGCTTTGGCGCTGCCCACTTCTGTGATGAAAAATGTTGCTGTTGCCTGGTCGTCGGCGGCATTTTCATTGAGCGTATCACTCTCGCCGTACATCTCCGATTGAAACTGTTGCTTTCGCTTGGGCGCCGGCGATATTCTTCATTGAGCATGTCGTTCTCAACATTGGCGCCGGACGCATCTCTGATTGAGAATGCTGCTGTAGCCTAGGCGCTGGCGGCATCTTTCGCTGAGCATGTGCCTAGGCGCCGGCCGCGCCACGATTGCAATTGTTGTTCGCACCTTAGCGTGGGCCGCGCTCTCGATGCGAATGCTTCTTTCTCCTGGCGCCGGCCGAAAGCATGATGGCGAATGCTGTTGTCGCCTCTGCGGCTTCGGCGCAGGCCGCACCCTTGATTGGGAATGCGGTCCCCGCCTTGATTATAGATTGTACCATTGTTCGGGCGCCCGCCACATCTTGATTGCGAATTCCGTTCTCGCCACAGAGGCAGACGCAGCCGCACGAGCCTGTTGTCTGCACAAGCTTCCGAATCGCGGCCCCATCCGCAACCTGCCGTATTTATCTTGACCACCCTCTGCCTCTGGCGACTTCGCCATATTCTCGGCCTCGCCTGGCGCATCCCTGAGTACGCCCTGACAGTCCTTGGACAGTCGCTGCAGGCACTTTCCTCGCACATCTCCCACAGCACCCTCCTTCCCACACAGCAGGACGAGCCCGCTAAGTTTGACGACGAGAGCTCCAGACCTGCCTCGCTCACCCCGCATGCCGCGGCCGCCTGGCCCAACGTTTGATGGCGATCCCTGTGGATCCTGCATCGCGTCTACGTCGACGGCATGCCGCGGCCGCCAGGCCTCGAGGGCGCCAGTGTCCCCTGGGGGGGCCGCCTCGCGCTCTCGGGCGAGGCATGCCAGGAGCAGGATGCGTCATATTGTCGTTTGTTTGTTTGTTATTGTGTGTGTGTGTTGACCAGCGCGCTCATGTCGCTTTGTTCTATTGATCTGGATGCCGCCCTCCGCATCGTGTGTGGTTGTTCTGTTTCTCAGCACGTGCCAGCCAGCTGCTTCACATGCCCCGCATCGCCTCTCGCTGGGGCCGATGCCCTCCTCCTGATTGCCACATTTGCTCCAGGTCATCGAATACCAGCCAGGCCTGGGAAAGCTGGGATTACCCAAGGGCTATAATGAGGCCGAGAGCCACTATCAGGCTCCCCATGATGCGCACGCAGCCAGTGATGAGAGGGCCCCTCCCTGCCCACTTGTGCTGGCCCCATCGTTGGTCTTACAGTCGGGGCCCTGAAGAAGGAACCCTTTTGGTTTGGGAGGGGCTCCGCGTTCCTTAAGTGTTTCACAGCTTGCCTCAGGTTTTCCTTATGTTTTCGATCGGAAATCGAAGTTTAACTTATGGAAAAAAGGGGCCTCGTTCCTTACTTAGGGTTCCTTAGGTCAATGCCTCGACTGTAGAGCCGCCTGCTGCCCTTCCAACCCCATCTGTTCGTCATGCTCCCGCTGCTGCCCATCCTCCTCCCGATTCTCCATAGCGTGATCTCTTTGATTATTCTCCCGGAGTGCTCGTGCATCCTGCAGCGTGTCATTTCGTGGTTCCTGTTTCTCGTCCGTTTCCCGCGGGTTCATGTTGATAGCATCTTCGTGGTTCGTCAGCACACTCGGCTATGGCTTTCCCCCCTAGTCCTCTGCTTCCCTCCCTTTCCCCGAAGCTTGAGCTTGAGCTCGCGCAGCCGAGTCGGGCCTTCGAGCCGTCCTTCTCGGTTGACGGCAGGTGGCGACTCTCAGGTCCTGTTGCGCGCTTGCTGCACGCACCAGGCTTTGCGCAGGCAGTGGTGGCGAGACGTAGTTGCTGCGATCCCGGGCCCATGTCTTTGGCCCTGCTGCAATCTTGAGCACGGCACCTGCCCAGGCCACGGTTGCGCGCGCCTGCCTCTGCCTCCCTCCTCTGTCCTCTCTTCCTCCCTCCTTGGCCCTCCCCACCGCCAGCACTGTTGCTCCTCCTCCTCCTCCTCCTCCTCCTCCTCCTCCCTCCTCCTCGCTCCTCCTCCTCCTCCTCCTCCTCCTCCTCCTCCTCCTCCCTCCTCCCTCCTCCTCCTCCTCCTCCTCCTCCTCTCACGGTCTCGATCCCTGCCTCTTGTTGTGATCCTGTTGGGCCCGCCAGCATCTCCCCCGCTCCGCCCGAGCCGCATCCCCCCCCCCTCCTCCTCCTCTCCTCTCCTCCTCCCTCCTCCTCCTCCTCCTCCTCCTCCTCCTCCTCCTCCTCCTCTCCTCCTCCTCCTCCTCTCCTCCTCCTCCTCCTCCTCCTCCTCCTCCTCCTCCTCCTCCTCCTCCTCCTCCTCCTCCTCCTCCTCCTCCTCCTCCTCCTCCTCCTCCCCCTCCCCCTCCCGTCGCGCTGCTCATCACTCCCCCATGCTGCTCCTCCTTGTCCTGCTCCTCGGTCGGCCTCCTCGCGCTCCCTCCGCCTTGCGCCACCCGTGCTCCTGGCGAGGTCCTGGGCTACTACCGCAGCTGCGACGACCTCTACAGATTCAGCCTGGCCGCCCCCCCCCCGTTGGGCCGGCAGGGCGGCGCCGGGCCAGGGGTAGCATCTACTCAGGAGGGAAGAAAACACGCAGACACAAGTCGTCGTCGATTCCCCAGACAATATCGGAACATATGGGCAGTGGGGGGGAAGGCAAAAACCCAGAAGTTATAGGAAAATACGGGGAATCCTGCCATGTGTGAGTATTTATTTGCGTGTCCCTGGGCCCCTTCATCTACGGAGGGTTCAGATGCCATCAGCGCCCAGCGCCCAGCTGGCCACTCTGGGCCGAGACTGGCCCCTGGCCCCGGGAGGAGAGATGGGGGACAGGCGGCGGAGAAGGGCAGGCAGGGAGCAGTGAGAGGGGAGGTGGAGGTGGAAGGGAGGGGAGAAGGGTGAGGCAGCCAGGCGGATGAGGAGGAGGAGGAGGAGGAGGAGGAGGAGGAGGAGGAGGAGGAGTAAGAGGACGAGGAGGAGGAGGAGGAGGAGGAGGAGGAGGAGGAGATGGAGGAGGATCTGTTCGGGACCTTCTGCTTCGCGTGACGCTCTGCCGGTTCTGGCCCGCCACGCTCGGCGCGACACGTGTTCCTCGCCCTTGTTTTCCGAGCATCGACGTCCCGAGCCTTCCCGGGCCTCCTGCGCCTCGTAGCGCAGCGACACGCTATCGGCTTGCAAGGCCTAGCGTGCCGCTGGGGCCGCCGCCGCGACGCGCTGATCAACAGCTCCGTGAGCAGGAGGAGCACCAGACGCGCGGAGGCGGTGTCGCTCCCGCAGTCGACCGCCGCGCGCTGGGATTCGATGGCGCCTCCTTCCGGCTCGGCGTCTCTGAAGGGGTGGCGCGTGCGAGCAGGGGCGCGGCGCCTCCCAGCCTGCAGCTCGTCTGGCCTGTGCTGCCTGCCGGCGCCTGCTCTGACTCGCTTCACTTGGAGGGTGAAAGTGGGCTTCGGGCGCAGGGTCCCGGCAATGATGTTTTTTAAGGCCATGAATGGGCGATGCATCCTCGATTGCCGTGCTCGGCGGGGGAACTAATTGAAGCCCCCCGCCTGCGCCCGCGCGCGAGACTCGAGGGGAAAGGAAGCAAGGGGGCGGGGGGCTCGGGAAAGGCGACGAAGGCAACGTGCGCTAAGGGCGCAAAAAGAAAAAGCTGGAACACACGAAAGCGGTCAGGTGAGTGTCGAAAGCTGCCCAGCCAATCTGACATGCGGAACGCTGCGCCTCAGTTTTGGGGATCTTGAAGGCCAGGGCAAAATATGAATTCACATTGTAGGGAAAACCAAAATGTGGATTCACATTTTGGGAAAAAGGAAAATGTGAATGGGAAAAAGGAAAATGTGATTTCACATTTTGGAATTTTGTGTAGGATTCTTTATGAAAGGGGCCAGAATGTGAATTCACATTTTGGGAAAAAGGAAAATGTGAATTCACATTTTGTGATAAAGGAAAATGTGAATTCACATTGTGGGAGAATCGCGGGGCCCATTCCAAATCTGTCTTGGGGGCCGAGAAGTCATCTTTTGGGAACATACGCGATCATCAACCGCACAATCAAGACACACCTGCACTCCACTTCGCCGACCCACACGCAATGTGCAAGAACGCCCGCACGCATGAACGATAATGGATGGACGGCGCGTGTGCCCGCGCGGGCAACGCGCGGGCACGAATGACTGGCCATCAATGACCGCCAGCATTGGATGCCAATCGTACCCGATCGCATACATGAGCGATACATTGAGCATACATGGGCCATTCAGCCCCCATTGAAGACCCCCTGTTGCAGACCCCCTCTTCCACCCTCCAATTCACTCTCCGCATGCGGGATGGCGCCGTGGCTGTGGTCCGCAAGCGCTTCACCCGGTAGGATTTGCGGGTCCGGTCGACGCTGGGGTATCGCCGCAGGGGTGCGCGCGGCTGCAGGCCCAAGCATCCTCCGCCATGATTTGTGCAGCTCGACTCGGGGCATCCAGTTATCCGAGGCCCGAGAGCTGCCAACTACTGGTCCCAGGGCCCAAAACAGGCCCCAGCGCCGAAACCGAGGCACAATGCTTGGATTGAACGAAGCATCTCGTCGGCGATTTGGGGGCCTCCTTCAAGCTCTGGACCCCCCGCCCCCCGCCAGCGTTTTGGAGATCTGGTCTGAAGGGGTTAGTTATGGTCCACAGGTGGCTGCCCAGCGCAAAGGGGGCCCATGGGAGGCGCCGACCGATGGCGACGTGCGGGAGGATTGTGGCAGAGTGCGAAGTGAGGGGAGCTAGCCAGGAGGGAAAAATCACAGACAAAAGCACACATCGATGCCCTGGAACATAATTATGGAAGATATGGGAAGTGGAGGAGAAAGCGAAGGTCCCGCAATCATGCAAACATATGGGTAAGCCTGGGATCTGTGTCTAATCATTGTGTGTCCGTGAGCCCCTTCAGTTAACCGAATAATCAAAAGTACATGAACTTAAATGTTCGGCGGTCCGCTCGTGGTTCTTGAATCGGTGCTCGACCCCCTGGCGCCGCCTCCTTTCGCCGTCCCTGGCGCGCTCCACGCGCCAGCTAGCAATGCGCTGACCCAAGAAATGCGCGCGGACCGCCGAAAGCTGTTTGTGCACAGTAGGTTCGCGTCGTGTCGACCAGCGGCGACCCCGCCGCCGGCGTTCAGCGTTGATCGCCTGCTGGCGATCCAAAATCCGTCGATGCTGAACGATCCGACGTTTCGGAAGCTGCGATATTTCGGAGTGGAGCGATATCCCCGCGTTGTCAGAGACTAACGCCCAAGTCGGCACGACGCGAACCTGCCGTGTGCCGCCTGGTCCTCTACTAGTTGGGGTTAGGGGAACGACGAATGACATCAACATAAAAATTGTTGACGCTTCGCGTATCCCCACCAGCCCATCCAGAAACGATGCCCAGGGGAGTTGAGGTGATCAGGGAAGTCGGGGAGCATGCAGAATAACAAAGGGCGGGGGAAGCTGTCACGTACCCCAAGAGGGGGAGGATGGAGAAGGAATCCTCGTCGGAGGGGGAGGGGGAGGAAGAGGATGAGAAGGAGGAGGAGGAGGAGGAGAAGGAGAATGAGGAGGAGGATGTGGAGTAGGGAGAGGACGAGGAGGACGAGAAGGAGGAGAAGGAGCAGAGGGAGGAGAAGGAGGAGAAGGAGGAGAAGGAGGAGAAGGAGGAGGAGGAAGAGGGGGATGAGAAATTGAAGAGGACGGCGAACCGAAGAGCCAGAAGCGTCTTAAATGCATTTCGGAGATCTTCTTGAGGCTTCTTGGGGGTCTCTTGGGAGCCTTTTGGAGGCCTCTTGGGCGCCTCTTGGGGCCGTCTGGGCGCCTCTTGGGGCGCTCTTGGGGCGCTCTTGGGGGCTGTAGGGGCGCTCTTGGGGCCATCTTGGAGGAGATCGATCAACGAAGGGGGGTTCCCTGATTAGCCTCCCCCCTCAGGAGCTCCAAACATCGCCTCTTGGGGCGCTCTTGGAGCGCTCTTGGGCGCTCTTGGGGCCGTCTTGGGGCTCTCTTGGGCCTCTTGTGGGGCCCTCTTGGGCCATCTTGGAGCCATCTTGAGGCCTTGGATGGCCATCGGAAGCGAAACGGGGAGAAAGCAACACACATTGATTTTCCTAAGGTTTTGGGACGATTTTGGCCTCTTCGGGGCCTCCTTGGGGAGCTCTTTGGCCACTTGGAGCCGTCTTGGGGCTGTCTTTGGGCCTCTTGGAACCATCTTAGGAGCCATCTCGAGCGATCTTGCGCTATCTTGAGCCATCTTGGAGCTCATCTTGGGCTCTCTGACGCGCTCTTGAAGCCATCTTGGGGCCAAAAGAGCCGTCCGACCGCTCGGGGAACCCTCCGTCCAGGTCCAGGGGAGGGGGTAGGGGGAGGGGTAAAGGGGGAAGAGGGAGGGGTGGAAGAGGATCTGTTCTAGACCACCTACGCTCAGAGGGCTGGTGGGATTCGGAGGGCTGCGCGGATTTCTCGGATCCGCGCTGGACCCCCCTGGCGGCGCCTCCGCCGCCGCCCCTGGCCCGCTCCGCGCGCCTGGGAGGGGTGTCCAGCGCCGGTCCGAGACATCCGCGCGGACCTTCTCGAGTATCGTTCGGTTGATGCCAGTCGTCGATCCCCTAGGGGGTGCGCAGCGAAGCGGTGCTCGAAGCGGCCAGGTGCAGGACTGAAAGTCTGCAGCAGCCGTGCGCGGCGGAGCGCGGTGCGCGCGCGGCGTGCCCCGTTCGTTGCATAGGCGGGCTGGCGTTTTTTCTGCGGCGGGGTCGAGGCTGGCTCTCTTGTCTTGGCGGGTGTGGCTTCACAAATGAGGAGGAGGAGGAGGAGGAGGAGGAGGGAGAGGAGGAGAGGAGGAGGAGGAGGAGGAGGAGGGAGGGAGGGGGCGGGGCTGGCTCTCTTGTCTTGGCGGGTGTGGCTCGTGGCCTCCTTCTTCAGCTCAGCTCGGCGGTGGCCTCAGCTCGGCTCCAGGAGCGACCTCTGCGCCCGCCCCCTGGAGTGAGGAGTCCCCCGCGTCGCAAATGAGGAGGAGGAGGAGGAGGAGGGAGTGAGTGAGGGGGAGGAGGGAGTGAGGGGGAGGAGGGGAGGAAGAGGAGGGGGAAAGGCAGGAGAAGGAGGAAGAGGAGGAGGGGAGGAGGAGGAGGAGGAGGAGGAGGAGGAGGAGGAGGAGAGGAGAGAGGAGGGAGGAAGGAGGAGGAGGAGGAGGAGGAGGAGGAGGAAGAGGATGAGGGGGAGGAAAGGGAGAAGGAGGGGTCGAGGCTGGCTCTCTTGTCTTTACGGGTGTGGCTCGTGGCCTCCTTCAGCTCAGCCTGGCGGTGGCCTCGGCTCGGCTCCAGGAGCGACCTCTGCGCCCGCCCCCTGGAGTGAGGAGTCCCCCGCGTCACAAATGAGGAGGAGGGAGGGAGGGGAGGAGGAGGAGGAGGAGGAGGAGGGGAGGGAGGGAGGGAGGGAGGGAGGTAGGGAGGGGGAGGAGGGAGTGAGGGGAGGAGGGGGAGGAAGAGGAGGGGGAAAAGGCAGGAGAGGAGGAAGAGGAGGAGGAGGAGGAGGAGGGAGAAGGAGAAGGAGAGGAGGAGGAGGAGGAGGAAGAGGAGGAGGAGGAGGGGGAGGAAAGGGAGAAGGAGGAAGAAGAGGAGGAGGAGGAGGAGGAGGAGGTAGGAGGAGGGAGGGGGAGGGGGTCCTGTGCGAGGTCAAGGTGCGCATCATCTCTGGGCGTCAGCACCAGATCCGTGTGCATATGCAGCGCCTGTTGCAGGAGCGGAGTTGGGCAGACATTTAGGCAGGAGAGGAGAAGCAATCCCAGAAAGACAGTTATCGGCTTGGATGGGGTTGGGAGACATGTTCCAATCATTCGTATCATCTCGTATGTTGAATGGGCTTATTGCACAGTCGTGCCCTGTATGTTCCTGACCCCTTCCTCCCAACACGAGCTTTGCTTTTTTTCCGCAATTTAGAGCCAAGGCCGATCTGAGGAGAAATAGGCAGCAATACCGCTACCATTTGCCCGTTCTCGCTTTTTTGGGCCTCTTGGGATGCCCTGGAAGTCTGGTCATAACGCTTCCCGGGAGAGGTCTGAGGAGTAGCAGTATCGGTACCTTCTGGGTTCCCCGATGATCCCAAAGGCGTTTTCAGTTGGAAGGTTTGGGTGCAGTGGTTCTGGGGCAGGTCGTTACTTCCGAAGAGCCCCCTGTGCCATCCCACAACGATTGCCCTGAAGTTTGCGGACCGCACATGGCAACCAGGGATAGGTGGGTACAGAAACAATTGATAGATGGGCGTTGCTTCATGGTGTGATGTTTCATTGCTGTCCGTTGGTCTGACCATGTTTGGACGTCGCGATGCCACCATCTGCGCGGTGATGTTACCGTGATTGGCCGTCCTCCGCAGCCGCATTCTAGCTTTCCAGCCTGTACACTAAATTTGGCCGTTGCCTGGCAAGTTCTCAGACGCGCCTTGACCGCTCACGTCGCTACGACAAGCAAGTGCTGCTGCTACACCTGCCCATGGTCCTTGGCATACTCATCTGTATGCTCCTTGCCCGTCGTCCCGAACCTCCTTGGGCCACTTTCGTATCGAATTCAAATCGTCTCGCTGTTTCACGGCACTGGGTAGGTATTGTTTGCCTGCTGACTTCGAGGACAAACATCTTATCAGAGTTTGCCGACTGCCCGTTCAATGCTGTCTCCAATCGGGATATCTTCGTCTGGGGTCGTCAGGCCTGAAGCGAAATGCTCTGAGTGCCGAGGCTGCCATGTCCCGATGGCCGCCAGTATCCCGCCTCAAACCCTCGACAAATCAGAACGTACCCGCTCCAGAATGCCGCGGCCGGGGGCCCGATAGTCTCCGAGCGTCCCTGGTATCCCAACTCGCGTCCTTGGCAACTGACGACAGGCAGAACCGATGGTAGGCACCAATGAGCTACACTCGTAGAACTTAAGGACACAACGTACAGAAAGTAGATACGTGCATAAAGCCACACGTTGATAGCAGGCAAACAGGCAATACATGTCAGACATGAGCACCGTAACATCACACACAACCAAGTCTACTTGCATGGGTACATATTGGGAAGGCCTTACAGCTTGTGCCGCCGACCCTGACAGGGGACGACGATGACGGCGGCGGCGGCGGCAGCTGCGACGACGCCGACGCTGACGCTCCGGAGTCCTCTTTGGGACTCTCTTGGGAGCCTATTGGACTCTGTTGGGGGGCTTCTTTGGGGACTTGTTGGAATTCTCCACGGCCACTTGGAGCCGCCTCGGAGCTGATCTGAGGACACTTGGAGGTATTTGGCAGAAAACGCAGCACCCCGCAACAGCAGATACGAGTGAGGAGGGTGCTTCCGGGGGGAGGGTCAGGGAGGAAGGGTGGTGGTGGTGGTGTTCGTGGCCCCCTTGTCCACAGGGGGGAGGCGGGAGGAGGGGTCCTGAAAGGGGTGAAGCGGCCACGGCGACGACGACGACTCAAACGGAATGACTTCCCACACGCGTCGACAAGGTCAGCGGATTTGCAACATAGTTCGCATGATCGCAAGACGTCCCCAGCCTACAGCAACTAGCAGCCATATCGCACATGTATAAGACATACATCTGACTTGGGAGACTTTGGCAAACGAAGTGGTAGCAAGCAGTGCTGATCATAAAGACAGGGCGGACACTCGGTCACATGGCAGTCTTACGTGGCATACACAACTGCACACCGAACATTCAGACCTAAGCGCATGCACACGTAACGAGCTTACTCCACAAAGGTATACATAACGTATTCGCTAAACGAGAACTAGCACGTGCACCACGTGAGACCATGCCAAGAGACCGTGCGCGCCGCACGCACGTGCATGCTACGCGATCATGATTTGCACAATCATTATATGTGATGTGCATGCAGAACAACGGCACGTGCACCGTGCTAGCAACACGTGGCCACACACATACTGCTGTTACACGTGGCATAACATGGCGCATTACTGGCATTGGTAGCACACACACACATGCGCAACACACGTACATGAAGTTCAACATGCTCACATGTACGCATCAAACATAAAATTGCATGCGCAGCTACACGCGTCATGCAGTTATAAAAGGGGACATGCGCGTGCAACATGCACCCAGAACCTACGCCAATAACGCCTGTCAAGCGCACCATTTAAATGACACACATGACCGACAGGGCGCTCTCCTCGGCACCTCCCAGGCGCGGGAGAAATCCACAGTAGACATGTGATAGCTAGATCTGTTTTGCAAGCGGGGTCCCCGACGGTCCAGTGTTTCACCCCGAGCCGTTGTTTGACGGCCCCGGGGCCCAGAGAGGGGTGGGGGGGTGGGGAGTGAGATGGTGCACGGTGGCGAGCAGCGGGTGGGGGGGCAGAAGTCGAGTCCTGCGGAGGCGGGCGCAGAGTAGAGAGCGGAGATTGATAACGTAACAGGCAGGGAGTAGAACGTAGAGAGAGAGAGAGAGAGAGAGAGGATACAGCAAAGCGTACAGAACCCAGAGAAGGGCACACACACACTTTCGCACACACACACACACTGCCCTGACAATGCGCATGATCTATATGTGGAATCAGCAGGGCTTGGCGCAGGAGGGAGGATGACCAGCCAGTGTGCGGCACCATGACGTAGGGGCAGTGGGAACAGCGTTTCATGAATGTTGTCATCTTGTAGCAGACCCTGTCGCTTCGCGCAAAAGGGATGGGAGAAACTCGGCGACGCTGTACTTGACGGACGGGACAAGGGCCTGGTCTCGGACTTCCTCTACCTGGATAAGCGCCCACCGATGACACGATGACCGGTAGCAGAGCATCCGCCATTTCTGTCACGTCCACTGCCGTAGCACCAGCTTGTCGCATTACCTGGACGGTGAGTCTCGGCGTCCAGCAAGAGTAAGAGCGACCGGCCCATTCGGTGTTCTCCGCCAAATGATATATACACACGTATACACACACTCATATCTCTCTATATATATAAAAATGTATACAAGCACCTTCCAATGGATTGTTCCTGGGATTCAGGGGATGGTCGCGGTGTATAAATCACCACTGCGAGCCAGCGTTTTTCTACCCCGCCGCCCTCCCTGGAGATGCATGCAAAATTGCACAATTCGTCGGAGGGCCTCTGTGCATATGCTTGCGTGGCGAATGTCCTTGTCGCCGAGCCGCTCTGGGCAGGACGCGCCGGCGAAGGCGCAGCGCTGCGGCCGCCGCGGCTCCCCGGCAGAGGGCCAGCGGCCGAACCCATGGGCTTCGGGCGACGGCTTGCGCCGGCCATGCGCAGGAGTGGCCCTTCGCCGGCGTGACCCTCTCGTGCGGGCCTACTGGCCTGGCATTGACAGAACGTCCCCCCCAGACAAGTCGACTGAGGAAGCATCCGCACGGATTCGCTCGACGCTGGCAGATGCTGGCAGTCGAGTGTGCTGGTGCAGTCCCCAGTCGGTTTCGCGAATCGACGTGCGTCGCGCTGGAGGCATTCGGTTGCTTCGGGGCGTCGACTAGATGCATCGCTGGGGGGCACTCGGAAGGCAGTGCCTTGCGCACGTGAAGTGCCACTGGCAGCTTTCACCAGCGGGCGTTTTGCTACAGGGGCTTCTGTCCACCCCCGACACAGGGGTCCATCCGGCAGTGGCTTGGGCGCGCGTGGGTCTGCCCCGCCCCCCCCGCGGACCCCCAAAGCCGCGCACGAGAGGCCACTCGGGGTCACCCCCTGCGTGCCTGCAGGCAGCCCGCACAGGAAGAATGAGCAGCCTCCCCGGGCATCCCTGCCCCCTCGGCCCGCCCTCAGCGACTTTCGCGGGCCGGCCTCTCGTTTCAACAACGTCAGCCTGGCCCTCCGCGGCCCTGGCAGCCTTGCCGCGCATCCTCCTTCCGCCGGGCTGGCTGCCGGCGACCCGCGGCGGCCCCGGAGGCAGCGGTGGCAGACCGAGGGGGCAGCCCCCTCGGCCCTGCGCCCGCGCCCCGCTCTGCCGCGGGGGAGGCCCGCCTTCGCGGCACCGCGCCGGGCCCAACGAGGGCCCTGGGATCGGGGCGATCGACAGGGGTACGGAGAGAACGGGTAATCCAATAGCCCTTATAACGGCGACGATGGAACACAGTGCCGGGGAACTGCTTTGAACATCACCAGTCGTTCAAAGCAGTGCCCCGGCACTGCTTTGAACGATGCGGAAATGCGATCAGCAGGAGCCTTCGTCTGTTCCTTCTCCTCTTCTCGTCGCTGTATGCTCTTCCTTGTCCTCCCTCCTCCCCCGTTCCCTCTCTAATTAATTACCTCGTTCTCCCAGTCTCACGCGCACTCTTCCTCCCCCCTCTCCTCCTCCTCTTCCTGCTTCTCCTCCTCGTCCTCCTCCTCCTCCGCCTCCTCCCCCTCATTTGTTATATTTCTCCGTCCTTGTCCTCCTGTCCCCGTTCTCCTTCTCCCTCTCCTCCTCCTCCTCCTCCTCGTCGTCGTCGTCCTCCTCCTCTTCCTCCTCCTCCTCCTCCTCCTCCTCTTCCTCCTCCTCCTCCTCCTCCTCCTCACCTTCTTCCTCCTCCTCCTCCTCCCCCTTTTCCTCTCCCTCCTCCTCCTCCTCCTCCTCCTCCCCCTTCCCCCTCTTCCTCCTCTGCTATCACTCCTCCATAATTCCTGTCCGCTCCTCCCCTTCACTGATCTTCCTCTTCGTCATCATCATCCCTTTCGTCGCACGCCTCTTAATCCTCAATCGGTTCCCAATCTTCTCGACTTTCTTGTCATCCGCGTCCTTGGCTGTTGGAGGGGCCTCAGGAATTCTCAGGGCTCTTGTGTTGCACGCGAAGGCACACCTCCCAGGAACGCATCATCCTCCTCACATTCACCCTCCTCCTCCTCATCCTCCTCCTCCATGCACGTTCGGCTCAAGCCCGCGCCGACGGTAGGTTTCACGGCGGTTGGGCGGGCTCGCGCCCGCCTCCGCGGCCTGCAGTCGGGGCAGAGATGCGTGCAGGGTGGGATGACAAAGCGGAAGAGGAAACACGGGCCGCAGTTGCGGATTCTTCAAAGAGCAGCGGCGGCGGTTGGGGAACAAGTGGGGGTTGGGGCGGCCGCAGTGGCGGATACGGCGGCGGAGGTGACCGCAGTGGCGGCTGGGGCGGCGGAGATTCTCTTGGCGGATGGAGAGGAAAAGCGCAGGATGGCGGCGACGGAAGTGACCGCAGTCGCGGATGGGAGGGCGGCGGATGGGGCGGCAACGGATGCGAGGGTTGGGGAATGGAGGGCGCCCGCTGGTGGGACGACGAGGGTGGCTGGTGGAATGCATGGGAAGGTGGCCGCTCGAGTGCCTCGGCAGGTTCTCCTGCCGCGGAGCCCGCGGCCGCAACAGCGGCGGGCAAAGGAGGCGGTCCCCTGCTTCCCCCAGGGCGCGAAGAACAAGGCGCAGTTGCGCTGTTTCAAATTGTGCGCAATGAGCCGCTGCCAATTTTCAAGTTGGAATTCTTCGAGAACTTCAGGGCGAACTGGAACGGCAATTATAAGCAGCACAACGCGGCCTTGAAGTGGTTCCGAGACGAGTACGAAGACCGAGAAAACCCTTTCGGCAGCCGCACGCCCGTCTTCGGAGGTACCGCAGTTGCGGAGGAAATTTCGAAGATCCTTAAGTACCGCGCAAAGGGGAAGGCGCAGGACAACAGGGATTGGGACTGGGACCACACTGTCAAAGTGCCGTGGTCTTGGCTGGAGATGGTCGCGCAGATGGATGGACCTACAATGCTGCGCGTCGTGTGCGGCCCTGACAATGACCGCAGTCGCGGGTTGGTCCGCTGCGAGTGCCGCCCGTGCCCTAGCAGTCTCGACAACATGAGGCACACGAAAGGGGTGGACAGAGGACAGGCGCAAAGAATCCCTCTGCCCCAGTGGGATTTCGTCCTCATCCGCGACGACGGCTCGGGCATTCGCGTCCACCCATCCTGGTCTAGCCCGAAGTTCAACACGTATGAGGTGGAGCCGCACTCGCATCCCGTGCGGGGCCCGAGGGCAGGTCTCGGCAAGAGCGATGGCCACGGAACGTTCACGTTCTGGAAGATGCTGCACGCCCATCCGAATCCTGGGCGGTTCGACGCGAGCAAGGGGGCGCAGCTGCAACCGCGGTGGTCCGCGCAGCCTTGACACCGCAGTTGCGGGATTGCGCAGCCATGGAACCGCAGTTGCGGGGACCGATCGCGTGACGCCGCGCTCGTTTGACTCACTATGCGCGCTTTCGGCCGCAGTTGCGGCGCTGCCTTCTAGCGACTTCATACAGCTTGGCCGCAGTTGCGGCGCTCCCACGACTGACCGCTGTAATTAGGTGCTTCGGGCGCGCATCACCTCCGTTGAAGCACTCGTGACGTTAATTAGCGCGGCCGCAGTTGCGGAGACAGGTACTTAAACAGATGGATCCGCAGTTGTTCGTCGTCCTCGTATCCCCTTCCCCGTCGTCCTCGTCGCAGTCTCCTCCCTCCGCCTTTCCTCCTCGTCGCAGTTCCTTCCGTTGGCCGTAGCCCGCCTCCGTTGGCCGAGTCATTTCCCGTCGTCCTCGTCGCTTTCCCCCCCGAGGGCCGCAGTTGCGGACTTTGTTGATTCCTCCTCCTCCGTTTCTTGCCCGTCATCCTCGTCGCAGTCCCCTTGCTCCTTTCACCCTCGTCTGAGCTCTTCGCGCCATCCTCTTCCGTCGCGTCCTCTCCATCCTCCTCTTCGCCTTCCTCGTCCTCATCCCCGCCGTCTCCCTCGTTGCCGTTCCTCTCCCAAGCCGGCCGCAGTTCCCCCGTCGGACGGGGGCCGCGCGCGGCCACGCCATGGACCCAGCTCGCAAAGCCGAGGTCGACAAGCGGTTCGCCGAGCTGAAGCAGCAACTGCGGGAAAGGCTCGGCGCGCAAGGGGCTGCCGCGGATGCCGCAGTCGCGGAGCCGACGGGGGACCGCAGTAGCGGAAGCCCCGAGCGACCGCCGCGCGAGGCCTCCCCGCAGTCGTCTAGCTCCTCGCGGTCGGCCATCGAATATCGGCCGCCGCCGCCGATAAGCGCTGCGAGTGGGAGCTCTGCTGGTGGGAGGCGCGAAGAGGCGCAGTTGCGCAGGGCGCACTTGACCCCCAAGGCAAAATGGGGGCCTCGGGCGCAGACGCCGACGAAGCAGCAGGACCAACCAGCAGTGACGGGAGCCGCCACCGAGACCGCAGTTGCGGGGGTGGCCGGCGAGCCAGGTGCCGCGCGCGGCTCATCTGGGAGCAGCGCGCCCTCGGCCGTGCTGCTCGCAGCCGAGTCCAAACGAGGCGCCCAACCCGAAGACGAGGCCGCCTCCCAGGAGAAAGCCGCCGAGACAACCGCCTCGGCCGATTCGCGGCCGAGGAAAAGGCCGCCTCCCACGGAAGACTCGCCGCTGTCAGAACCGCAGTCGCGGGGTCGCGCGGGGCCTCCGTCGGAACCGCAGTTGCGGGAAGATGCGGGAGCACCGCGGAAGAAGCAGCGGACCAGGTCCCCTCCAGGGATAAAATACTTTGGGGAACACCCCAAGTGGAACGAAGGATTCCTTCGTACAGCAGACGGCAATCGGGTTCCGTCCACCATCGCTTTGGTGTTCAACGTGGTGGTCATCACGAAGGTGGCAACAAAGGAAGATGTCTTCAGGTGCATCTTGCACCAAACTGCGGCGGTCGTCTTCGTCGTATGGGACCCCGAGCTGTTCCGCACGGGGAACGTCGAAGGCGCTTGCAGCTACGACGTTCGCGTTGGACTCAGGAGTGCCATCGACAACGCTGTCACTATGAAAAACGCCTCCGAGGAGCCTTACTGG